CTTCATGCCCAGGTAACATGGGTTTTTTCCAACTGACTTGCCTAGATCGTTAAGCACAGATTGGCATCAGCAAATCATCGTTTGCTTAATATGGTCCACGAGGGACCACACTCCTACTGAGTTCATATTCCACTATATCATTTCATTTTACAAACACTCATAATGTCTTTAAAGGCCACATAAACCCAACAAGACAGAGAGATGAAAGAAACAAAGATTAACCAAATTCTTGTGATTCCAATATGAAAACCACATTACAATATCCTTACAATAGGCTGGTATTGAATAATCTACATCTTAAGATAGGCCAGGAAGTCAATATTAATCCGGTATTCTCTATAAATATGCCCCTTAAGAAAACATTTAGTCTGCCCAAGGATAGGATGGAACTGTATCCGTTCTTCTGCAGTTTGGGGCCCTTAGGGGTATTTGTTTTGCGCGCACACATCTTGTTCATTCTAGAGAAGATCTCAAAAAGAAAAACAGAAGAGAAAAATAAAAGAACAATAGTTTATTTTTTTTAAGAGAGAAATTGCAGTTGATATAGGATGTCCATGTTAAGAGGGAAATGATGCTATCAAATTGGTGCCCTAGAGGGAATTCGTTTAACCCCAACTTTTGTATTATCTGATCATCGCAAGACGAACAACTAAAAAGAATGATTTTGAGTTTTTTAAAGGGCGAGCTGCCCATGAGCTATGTAAAATTTCCCTCTCTAGTACGCAGAACCCTTGATAAAATATCCTCAAACTCAACAAACAAAATGATTTACAAGCTCCTTGCCATGCCTAACTTGTGACACACTATAGCCAGATGTGCTTGCAACAAAAATGTATGTATCACACTATGGTAATGCAAGATAAAAAAACAAATAACGATAAATTTCTACTGCAACTCCTGTTATGATTGTGTGGCATCATAGTGGGTACTAACGAGATTATTCATGATAATTAAATATTTGCCCTGTAAAACTGAACTGTGAAGCCATGAGGACTTCCAAACTTGCAAATTTGTGAAGCATATTTGTCAAACAATTTTATGTGAGGTTCACTACTCATGGATTCACACGAGTGTATGTAATGTGGATATTATATATGCAAAAATCCATTGTGCTTTTCAATGTAATTAGTATTTACTATTTTTTAGGGTGAGATTTATGTAAGGTGTACAACTTAAGTAATCAAAGTAAGAGGCACCTTCAAACTTTTCTATTAGAAGCATTTTTCACGCGGGAGACCTTGCGATGACCTGAAATCCATTTTTGCACTTAATTATAAAAGTTAAAATTCTTAAAATGGTGTGGATGAAGCAAATCCATAAATACTTGAAAATCTTGAAAATGGATGGTTTAGAAATGTTACAAGTTGCTCTATTTTTTAAGACTTGAAATCTTTTCTTTTTTTTTCCATATCCGTGAGGTCTGATAATCAATTGAGGGTTTTTCAGAATCGAAACAGCCTTTTTCAGCAAATTTTTAGGTGCACCTTACTTCTAGTTGACACCCTATAAGAAAAATTTCCATTTTTTAGTACATGCAGTAGTTATTATTATTATTTGAACTAATGACCCGGTAGGAATATAAATTTGTGTGCCATATTATGACACCTTGCAACCTTAACCACCCAGTCTTGTAGCATCAGTTTGAAGCATAAGCCCACCTGAAGAGCTCGGCTTTGACCACAAAAAAGCCATGTAATATTTTCTATTGGTTGAGGAAGTCTATGTTTGTAGAAACTCAGACTAAAGGCATGGTGGGTTCCTTGTGAGTTAGTTTGATGACTCTATGTTCATTGTAGGAACCTGCGTCAGTGTCACTCGGGGGAGAGGAAGCCATTGAAGGGCTCAAAGAAAGGGGGACACAATTCATAGATAAATGATTAATACCGAACTGCAACAACCCTGATTTGATCCCACGCATGATTATTGATAGAGATAATTAAGGTTCCACTTGTGTCGGTTCAGTTGAGACTCTCTCACGAAGCCACGTTCTCGAAATCGGGTCCCAAGAAGCCATGGATAAAGTTCTCGAAATCGGGTGCCAAGACTTCCAAGTCCCAAACAATGAACGCTAGGGCCTTTAAATTTTCATCCCCAATTGAGCAAGTTTAATATTTTGATCACCCCTCTAAGTTGGTTTTGAACCATTGGGATTTCGGATTTGAATGGGCAGGTTTAGCGATGAAGTAACCCAAAAAAACACAGATCATATCGGAGGAAAAAATTAAAAATTTGGACAAACTTGTTTTACGATGTTCATACAAATATATGAGTTATTTGAAGAGAAGAAACAAATTTTTGTGAAATAAAAAAAATTGTGAGGTAAATTGCGTTTATGAGGGATCATGAAGCTGGATTTGTTAGGTAGAGTGTGGTAAACTGTGCAGCCTGTGCTTATGGGAGTTTCAAATTGGAGAGAGAGAATGTGGTTTCAGTGGGATAGAGAGTCACTAATTCTAGGGAACGAGGATGAGATCTAGGGTCACTGGTGCTCCGTAGGATGCATTTAAAACCGTGTCAAATTTACACTCTCGAATGATAACATAGCCGCTGCAGGCCAAATTTTTTTTTTTTATATCACGGGTATTGCATTATAAAATTATTTAACTTTGGTACAAAAAAATCACCATCACTTGTAACGTGCATAATCTAACCGCTTGAGTTTCCCCACAACGTCAACAAAAATTTCTACAAACTCTAAACCTGGACAATAGTTACCTCCAACCTGCTGAATTCACTCTAAAGAGCAAGATCGATTGTGATCCCTTGAGCTATTTAAATTAGATCCACATTCAAAACAATTTCAAGGAAAAGTTTGATCCCGAGCTTTTCAAAATTATAGATCTAATTTTTCCTCAAATAACAAATGGCTTTGAATAATCTTTCACAGGTAAACCTCTGGGATAATTTTGAGCTGTGAATTATTTTATTTGCAAATTTGGTCTTACTAACAATTAAAAGAAAGGATTTTATACAATGAGACATTATTCTATGTCACAAGAAGGTCATAATTACTACTAGTCATTAAATGTCAAAAGGGATTGCCAGGGATATATTACAAAAATTTGAGAAATTTATCAATAGACATGCCCAGCTAGATCGACTTTGCCTAGGCCACTAAATTTAGCTCGATGGTTGGGCCAAGTCTTGAAGTCTAGTCTCAGTAGCCATGCTGTGCCCAAGCCATGGGTCATGGCTGTCCTGCGCAACTTGATTAATTTATTTTTAGTTTATTTTTCAAGTGTGATTTATACTCGATCCATCATGGCCTAGCATGGTTCGATAGTAATAGAACCAATCCAAGCCACCTAGCCCATACGCAAGTCAAACTTGGGCTCTCTGCCTCGAAGACCAAGGCCAGGCCCGGCCTGCCAACCTAAGTATTTCCTGGCTTTATAAAAGACGTATGGGTCTCCATTGAATAAATTACAAACTGAACACACTTTTAAAGTAATGAGATTGGATGTAGTTTATCTAAGGCCTAAGTTTTATGAATACAGAGTAGAGCCTCAGCTTATATCATCGGCTGGAAAGTACTTTGGGCATTGGAAATCTCCATGGCTCTAAATTTCACTTTCAACAATGATTATGAGATTTGTTGCTTAAAAAATAGTATAGATCTTGCATATTCACGAATACTTATTTTTAAGGTGAAATGGGCATTCTAGATAATTTGTTACAATTTACGCTATTTAAAGAAGTTGATATTCTATATTTTTTTTACAACCATAATGGTGAAGCAAATAGGATTGGTTTGAAGGTTTTCCAATTGTAATTTTCAATGAATTTTAAAGTGAGGCTTTATTTATTGGAAAAAATTTATATAAGGTTTTAACCTTAAAATGTAGAATTAAGGTGCACCTTAAAAATATCATTTTGTTGTTGGAAAGCCCTCTAATTGATCATCTCGACATCAATATATACGGATAAAAAAAAAAAAAAATTGAGTATAAAAAATAGTGCATCACCTGAAATATCTTTTGAACTGTCTATTTTCAAGATTTTTATGTATTTATAGATCTACTTGATTTCAATGTTTTTTTAGGTGCGGTTTGTATAGAGCCGAAGCTCTAAACAATCAAAGTAAAGCGCACCTTCAAATAGTATCAAAAGATGCGGTTTCAATGCTATAAATCTTTGTGATAGCCTTAAAATTTTATCTTTAATTATAAAAATTAAAGCTTAAAAATAGTGTAGATCGAGCAGGTCTAAAAAAAGTTGAAAATCTTGAAAATTGACGATCCAAAAATATGTTACAAGGTGCATTACTTCCAAAACTTGAAATCTATTTTTTTCTCATGCCTATACATCTTGATGTCGAGATGATCAATTTGAAGATATTTGGGCATCAAAACAACATTTTCTAGTGAAATATTTGAAGTGGGCTCTAATTTGATTGTTTAGAGCCTCAGCTCTATATTAACGTTTTCCTATTTTTTTAGTTTAAAACGTTATAAAATACAAATAAAAATATATTCTCAAATCACCGTCACAAATGTTTTTTCACCAAGGTACATCTTATCATAAAATTTAGAGGTACGCCCTAATTTGATATTTTAAAGTTTGGCAAACCATGCCCGTATTTATTTTGATAGCCCTATCAAACCATCTTTCTTTGAAATTTTTTGCCATAAATTTGACCGCCTTCTCAAATAAAACAAGGGAAGCCATAGCCACAAATCCATTGTAATGATAGATTTTGTACATATGTGACCCTCTTCTATGAGCCAGCCAACTCATATGTACCTATGCGGCCTCTTCTAAAATCCATTATAATGATAGATTTGTAACTGATTTTATTATAGATTTATCAACTAGCCAAGGTGATCATGAATATGAAAAGAAAATTAAATATTTAAAAATAAAATATATATGTTTTTTTGGCTTTTATTTTTACACCGTCTATGCATTACTTGTGCTGCACAACGTCCATCTTTAGGATGGACGTTTGCCGCGCCCGCCGCTAGACTTTTCCTTCCTATATAATGCCCTAAAGAATCTTTGCTTCTCCTATTTGCTCCATTTACAAGAGTTCGCGATCTGGCTTTAATGGCGCCTTCTTCCCTGTCGACCGTCCTCGTTCTCTCTCTTCTGAGTTTCTTATCCGTTGGAGCCCTAGCCAGGCCAGGCCTCCATTTCCACCCCTGCAAGTCTTACTACGTTTCATTCTCCTACACTCTGTCGAGCCCCAAAACCCTAGATCAAATCCCTTTGGAGCCAAATCCTCGACCTAATCTTCGTCCTGGTTTTGCGTCAAACCATAAATTGCCTTTCAGTTTCTTTATCTATAGGGAAATCAATGGAATTTATCCTAAACCAGTGGAATTCATGGCCCACAATGACCTTTACTTGGTCTCCAGAAGGGACCCATCTGCTTTCCGCGGGATCAAACCCTATGAAAGGGAATTCAGGTTCACGAATTCACTCAGAGAGAGGACCAAGGATATACTGAGCGTTATCATAGCTTTGCTCTTTGGCTTGGGTTGTGGTGCTTTGACCTCTGCAACTATGTATCTGGCCTGGTCTTTGATCACAAACAGGTATGAGGGTTCGGCTTCCGAGGAATATGAAGGCGCCGATGATGCAGGTTATGTTAAGATTCCTGATACTCCGTCCACTGACACTGTGAAGAAAGAGGGTTACGAGGGGAAGTAGGGTTATGTTTTCTGATTTCTAGATATTTATGCAAAATGTCTGTGACTTGTGTAGATACATATATGTTATCTCTGTTTAAGGGATGTTTTTTATATCCTGGTATTATGGGAGTTGAGACTTAGATGACTGGACATTCGTGTTGCATTCTGTTATATGTTGATATCTAAAGATGATTTCTCTGATACTTATATAGAACTTGTTATTACATCCGGTCATGATGGTGGAGTTGTGATTTTTGTTTGGTTCTTTTCTTTATTATTCTTTTATCCATTGATTATTATGTGTTATTTGGAGTTTGATAATTTTTATTGATATTTGCTTTCCATTAAATTTTTTTTTTTTGTATTTATTATGAGGAGCGGTGAATTCTTGAAATTTTGTTCTTTTTTGTTTTTTCCTGATGGGAATGTGCCTGTATATGTTACTTGTTCCTTTTGTCACATTGTCTTACGCTTCATGATAAATTCTGGTAATATGCATTCATATATTTGTAATTAAGATCCTTCCTCAGCATTCGTGTGATATACTTGTTGTCTACATTGAAATAAGATGCTCACTTGAACGTATCAAGTTTCTGGCTCCGTAATGCACCTCCACCATTTCTATGTATGTATGTATGAATGTTGTAATTTATAAATAATAATCACCACCATCGTCTTGATAATTTGGTTACAACTTGGTTTTGATTGCTATCTTTTACTGTTTGATTCTGAAAATTGTTCTTTGGAATTCAATTTCAAAAAAAAGGAAAACTGTTCTCTGGAATTCCTTGAGAAGTTGGTTACAACGGTGTGGGTTTTGTGCCATTTCTTAGTGAGTGGAGCAAAAAGGGCTCACTCCTTTAGTAGTCGATCCAATAAAACTGTTTTTGTCTGCACTCCTAAATGGCTTGGGGAGTAAACAGACTTATTTGTTAATAAGTGGTCCATCTGAACTAGTCTTACACTCTGTATTTCTGAATAGCTGAAATACTTTTTCAATTTGTGAGGGGACTAACTCTTACTAATAAAGAAAAGCTGGGAGACAATTAAAGCCATCAGTTTTCTGATCCATTATAATGCCACTGAGGAACTGATGCATTATAATGCCACTGAGGAGTAATATGGAATTTGGTTATACTACAAGAGATATCGGAATCATTCTTCTCATGGAGATAGGTGGATATGGGAGGTTTCCATCCTGCAAATGGCTTTGTTAAAGAAGAATCAAGGAGCCTTAATAAATTCTCAATAACGGACAAATTTATGTGAGCTTCAAGTACCAATTTGTTTCATAAAGTTGTTTCTTATAATTTGGATTTTAAAGCTTGTGGGTTCCTACGATTAAGGGTATATATGGTGCCACTGTTGATGTGTTCCTTGGACTTACTATACGTTTATACCATGGATCAAAGCTATTGTGGTGTTTGGAGATGACATAATTGTGAATAGCAGCTATTTGGTATGAGACAATGCTTATTCCTATTACTTAAGATTCGATTTGGAAATTTCCTTGAACTATAAAATGAAACAATGGTCTCTCACCTTTCCAAAGGCAAGGCATCTGGTTAGAGAGGTTTTGGTTATCATTCCTTTTTAAGACCATTTGCTTATTTAATATGAACTTTTAAAGTTTTCATAGTAGATAACCAACCAAGAAAGAAAAAAGAAAAAAAGTGTTGATATTATATTTATTTTATATTTTGCATTGCCAGCGTGTAATTCGAGTCTTGGATGGAATGTTTCAATCATTGAGATCATAACCAATTAAACTTGACTCCAATGGTCGTATTTAGTTATGTACTTTGGGTAGTTCAGTGGTAGGAATCAAACTTAGGATGTAGTGTTTCGTTTGTGAACAACTAACCACTCAAGCCCAAGCGCGATTCCTAGATGTATTGTGTTATACTGACAAAAAAAAGAATAATTCTAGATGCTTTGTTTTACAATGTGTAAATTCTAGTTCTATTAAAAAAAAGAGTTGATATTTTGTCTATCACATCATTATTATGTTATTCTATTGTGTTAGTGGTGAAAGAGGAGTTAGGTTTATCACCTAGTTCACTTCGGTTATTTGAGGATTTGTTGAAAGTTTAAGCCATTCATGTTGAAAGAATTTATTCATCGGTTTTTCATGATAATGTTTGCAATTCTTGTGCTTGTTTCGGTGCCTCATTGTTCAATTTCTTGTTATGGCGAATGGGAGCAAGTTGTTTCTTTTTTAGTACTAGCCCATAGGTCTTATTGTATAATTCCTATGGGCTTTAATGTGGGTGACACTTTTTTGGCTTATGCCATAGCATGACATTCTACTGGAAGGCTTGTGCCACAACATGACTCCTTGGATACAACCAACGCGATGACAAGTCTCCAAGTCCACTCTTAGCAGACCATCGGAATCACAACTATGTGTATTGATTTGCCTTCAAATCGATAAAAAGTGATCGGACTTCATTTTGGTACAAGTCTTGCTGAAGTCAATCAAACAAAAGTCAATTTTCAAAGTGTTTTTAGTCGATATTGTAAAAAAAAAAAGTGCTTTTCGTCGATCAAGATGTAGAATCTAGGGGAGTGAAAATGTTGATCTCTTCATTATGACAGAGTTTCCCTTAGCCCGAAGTCTAAACTTGGTTTGATAATATGGCTTTCTTGTTCTGCCAATAGGCTAAGGTCCATATACCTAAATACTAAGATTAATCCCCTTCGATTTGGTTCTACCAAAAGGTCGAGGTTCAAATAACCGAGTAATAAAGATTATAGTCATTAATCTAGCTCAGGATGTAATCTCATTTTGAAATTGTTGGAATTTTAAGCAAATCATTATCCTAAAAATGAAAAGGGAAGGGGTTTTATATAGAAACATAGACGTGTACCTGTCACCTCTATAGTGATGTGGTAAACGTGCATCGTGCATGTTGTCACATGGTCACACACTGGTCAATGAGAAGAAGTGACACTTGTAATTCTTGTCATTCATATTTCAATAGTGTGGTTCATGTGGTCCACATTTCTGTAGTGTGGTCCGTGTAGTTCATATTTCAATAGAATGGTCCACATTAAATAAATGGAAAATTTTGTTGTGTTCCTTCCCTGATATAAATTATATATTGCTCCCATCTTCCAATCATTAGATCTGAATGGACGGATGGGATGACTTTAATCGCAATTTTACCCCTTAACAATATTTTATTTTTATTTTTATTCTATGAGTCATGTAAACATGAAATTCTGGGCGTGCTTTCCTCTCATAAGGTGCACTTAAAAAATAAAAAATATTTCTATTAAAATAAAAAGATAAAATACCTTGCAACTTTCAAGGGTATTTTGGTCATTTATTTTGTGAGAAATATTTTTTTCATTTTAGGTGCACCCCTATGAGAGGACAAATTTCATGTCAAGATGATTTGTAGAAAAATAAAAATAAAAATAAAGTACTTTGAGCTGTCCAATCATAATTAGATGGTCAAAGGCTCAGTTGTGACTTGTGACTTGTGACATTATGACTAAAGCTATCTTCGTGTTCCTTTAGATGGATGACTGAGAGAGTTGGGACATATATTATATAAGTAAGGGGATGTATACTAAGTTTGCCATAAATAAAATGGGATTTGAATCATGGTCTATAGAGCTTAGAAAGATCCATATTACAAAAATTGTCCAAGTCTTATCAGAAATTGCCTCCACTTCTACACTGAAATAGGTGAATGAGTGAATCCATTGAGGATGCCTTACAGCCAAATACCCTAGCATAGGCTTTACCTCATCTAGGCAAATAGATCCATTGCGCCACCTCTCCATTCATTACAATTCAAAGTACCACACAACCAGGGATAGGGCAGTCCAAGGTCTACTTCTTGACCTTGAGGATTGATTTGGTACTGAAGAAGACTTATTCCACTGTCAATACAATAGCCGCCACCTCAGGTCCTACTACGCCCTTGGGCCCTATACCAACTCAAACTAGAGGTGACTAGACTTCTGATCAACCTTTTAGTCAAATCTAGCCTACTAAAGCATGACAAATGGATGAGCATGATTTTATATGTGAAGGTCACATATTAAATACCCTTAATTTCCCATCGTTTCATCTGTATTTACTATCAGTTGCTCACAACCAAAGACCAATAGGAGCCTTTGGAAGTGAAATATATTGCTTAGGATGTCGATCGGAAAATCGCACACTTATGGATATGGTGAATGCCGTATCCATCTGTTCTAACCTACTCAATAATTTGTGGGGAGAACCATTGTTGTCCACATGCTATATTATGAACAAATTTCATATTCAAAATGGCTAAAGAACTTTTTGATAGATGTGCCACATTTTCGAGGGCCTATACCTGCAGGCTAAGTACACTGGGATTATAAATCCACGGCACACCTTGCAAAGAGCACATTTTATTGTCGAAAGTCAAGAAACATTCGCTCGAGGCACAATCAATTGAGAGTCCGAGACTATTTCCTGAAGGTGAGTAATCATAGTGCTCCATATCATATCTAATTGGAAATAGCGGATCCATTAAACATAGGAGATCCTACAATGATAGGCCACTAAGTGTTTGGGAACCCCACCTAGTAGCCAAGGAGATCCCAAGTTGTAGGTCAACTGTTCAAGGGGAAAACAAGACACTTGTATGATATCTAGTGTGCTTTCTATCACAATATTTATATAACGAAAAATTGATATATTTTTCCCTATTCCTGGCTCCCCAATACTTTGAACTTCAATGAATGGAGAGATTGAGCTATGCTATTAATGACTCCTTTTGCCTAGATGATGTAAAACCTAGGTTGGGGTGTTGTGTTGGAGGGCATCTTCCATATATTTTTCTATATGAATGTGGAAGTAGAAGATGCTTTCCATGAGAATTCACACCTCTCTAGGGTGCTCATGAAAATTTGGAGTGAGTGTAGGGCCTTTAATGCACAAGTCGTAGGTAATCACAATTTTTTGAAAAAGAATGCTTGCTATGTGGGAGGCTTACCAATTATTGAAATAGTTCAAGGTTCGTCTACTCATTGCATGGGTGTTCAAGTCTATAAGACACCCTCACCTTCACTTGAGGATTGTCTCTCATGATTTGCAAGTTGAATAGAGTATTTTGGATCAAGTTGTTTTGAAATAGGTGAGGTTTGTTAATTTGTATAATGGTGTTCCATAACAGCTTACCCTTTTAAGAGATTGTTTTGGACAATTTTTATAGTTTGGATCTTTATACTTTCTAGGGA